CTGAAATGACCGGTTCCTTGAAAAGTCTTCTGGAAAATGATTTTTGTGCAGGACAGAACTACTACAACCTATTTAATAGTTACAGGATTATTCAGAGCTTTCTTGTCTAGGTAAATTACATATTTTTAGGAGTTAATTTTGTTTATACTTTCTAATGTCTTGACATTAAATTGTTGACAGTATTCTATTCTTTTTAATCTGATCTATAATTATGTTTCCTTTTTCATTCTCAGTATTTAATTATGTCTTCTCTTTTTTTCTGATCAATCTTGCAGGATATTTATCTATTTTTCTAGCCTTCTTAAAGAATCAACTTACAGCTTTACTGATTTCTCATTTGGTCTCTGTACCCCTATAATTTTAAAACTGAGTATGTAGGGGTACCTGGCTCAGTTGGTAGAACATGTCACTCTTGATTTTGGGGTTCTAAGTTCGAGCTTCACATTGGGTATAGTATAGAGATTACTTTAAAATAAATTCTTAAATAAATAAAAATAAACTGGGGGTGCCTGGGTGGCTCAGTCAGTTAAGTGTCCAACTCTTGATCTCAGCTCAGGTCTTGATCTCAGGGTTGTGAGTTCAAGCCTCACACTGAGCTTGGTGCTCAGCATGGAGCCCACTTAAAAAATTAAAAAAACAAAAAAACAAAAAACCCTGTGTATGTACATCAGCTTCCCACCTAGACTACGTGACATCAATCTCTTCCTTACCTTCAACCTGAAGTCCAACACAACTTTCCCTGCTCCTCTGGTCTTGCTTAACTAACTGTTTTTAGATTTAAAACAGCTCTTCAGTTTAGTAGATTTTTATAAATGCAATGCTATTTCTCAATACCCAAATAAGGGCAGTTTTGTATCATCTCTCACCTTACTTTAGTCACAATTTTATGCCCCTGTACAAATGATTCTCCCCACCTAAAATATCTTTTCTCCTTCTTCAAAGCCAATCAAAATATCCAAAAGTGGTGATTTACACCTTTCTCTTCATGAAGTTTTGTGAAATTAACTCTACACACTCTATGGCAATCTGTCTAGAGTCTTTTAATATTTATATGTAAACAATACTATCGCACAATAGTGTATTTACTTTTTTATTTAACAAATTTACCAATGTGTCAGGCACGGCTGTAAATAAATATGAACTGATTTCTCAAAGAAGTCCTAAGAAGTATGATTATCTCTATCTTCCTAGTTGGAAGCGCAGAGAGGTTACGCACTTACACTTAGTAAGTGGCATAGCCTGAATTCAAATCCTAGAAGTCTAGCTCTAGACCATGTGCTCTTAACAATTACACTATGCTTCCTTAAACTGCTCTAGTAGTACTTTCTTAACACTGCCCCAAGCACAAGGTACGATCTCTCAAACTACCATTTAAGCTCTTTAAGGAATGCATGTCTTCAACTTTTCATATCCTTCAACAGCTTTCTGTACAGACTTTAAGTGTTTAGCAGGTTTTTAATGAATGCTTACTGAACTGAAACATGAGAGGACAATTACTGAAGTCCAGATGACACAATGAAAATAATTTTTAGGCAAACTAAGTTGCACTAAAGTGCTCCAGCCTTTCTGTAATGCTTAAAAAACACTACCATGGATAACTGTGATATAATAAAAATAAAACAAGACAAAATCAGAGAGGGAGACAAACCATAAGAGACTCTTAACCATAGAAACAAACTGAGGGTTGCTGGAGGGGGGGATGGGGTGGGGGGATGGGGTAACTGGGTGATGGGAATCAAGGAAGGCACATGATGTAATGAGCACTGGGTGTTATATACAACTGATGAATCAATGAACTCTACCTCTGAAACATATAGTGTAATAATACACTATATGTTAATTAAATGAATTTAAATAAAATAAAATTAAAAATAATAAAGTTAGTCTTGGAGTGAGCTATTTCACTGTGCATATATACAAAGCCATAAAATATAACTGTGACACAAAACTGTATCTATGAAATTTCACTGTAAGTATCTATGAAATTTCACTGTAACCTATGTTTATCTTTTTAAGACCACAGGTACAGAAACCAAACACTTAAGTGACACCTGATTTAAAAATTACTTACAGATGTAAAAGCTTCTAAAATACAATTTCTCCAATTTTCTTAGAATTCAAGTATAATACATGAATCTAAAAATTAAAGCAATGTTATACAGAAGTGCAAGGAAATTCTAAAATAGCTCTAAAAGACAACTGAAACTACTGAGTTAAGGCAACTGAAAGATTATAAATACGATTCAAAGCCGACTCACCACTTCGAAAGAAGTGAGGAAAAGATGGACACCAAATGGAAAAGAGGTATATTTAAACAAAAGATTGAGTGGAATCAAATATATGAACCATTTCCAACTGTGAGGAAGAGAATCTAGGCCCATTTTTCTCTGTGGAATAGTAATAAAAATTAAAGACAAATTGTAGTCAGTAACTTTAAGATGAGGTGATTGTAAATACCACCATTATTTTATGTACCTCTAAAAAAAGGAAAGAATAAAATCCTGTGTTAATTAACATATGTCATCAATTACTAGACATATCCAGATTTAGGAGCTATAAAATAATAAAAAAAAAAAACCTGCTGAATTTTAGAATCAATAAAATGCTTATCTTCCTGAGCTTATGACAGGGTTACATCCCAATAAACCCATTGTAAGTTGGAAATATTAATTAAAAAAGCACTTAATACACCTAACATTCTGATCACACTTTAGCCTAGCCTACTTTAAATGCACTCAAAACACATTAGCCTACACGTGCGCAAAATTATCTAACACAAGCCTATGCTATTAATAAAGTGTTGAGTATCTTATAATTTACTGAATACTGTACTGAAAGTGAAAAACAGAATGGTTGTTTACCCTTGTCATCATCTGGCTGACTGGAGCTACAGCTTACAACCATTGCCCTGCATCACAAGAGAGTATTTATACTGGATCTCCCTAGCCCAGGAAAAGATAAAAATTCAAAATTCTAAGTATGGTTTCTACTGAATGTGTTATTGCTTTTGCACCATCATAAAGTTGAAAAATCCTAAGTCAGGGACCATGTGTGTAGTTAAGTGACTACATAAGACAAATCAGGTATGAGGAAATTTAGTTCAATTCAAGGAACATTATTAATAAACTAACTGGAATCAGAGGCTGTGCTAAAATTTCAGAATATAAATACAAATTTGGCTTATTCCTTCCCTGCACAGCGCTCTTAGTTAAGAAATTAACACTAAAAGGAGGAGAGTAATAAATATCAAGTCTTCGGAATACTCATGTCTTCAATCTAGTGATTCTATTGCTATACATTTATCCTAAAGAAATGACTGAAAAGGAACAACTTTTATGCATATTGGCCACTGCAATAAAAAATGATAGCAAAATTTAAAACCTGGAAGCCTAATCACCCAGTTTTAATACAACTTGCTCAATGGAAAATGTAATGACTAAAAAGTATAATCAAAATACTATGGAGCAATATGGAAAAATACAACTAAGTGAAAAAATAAAAAATATATATACACTTTTGTCCAAACTAAATAAAATTAGGAAAAAATGGGAGAAGATATAAAGAAAACTAATGAGAAGGATGTTCGACACGTTCAAAATCTGTTTTTGATTACAGATTGTATATTAAATAATAATACTGTATCATCATTAAATTTCTTGATTTTGGTACCTGTACTGTTGCTATTTAAGATAATGCTCTTATTCTTAGGAAATAAAGTATTTAACAGTAAAAAGAGCCCAACATCTCCAACTTAATCTCACAGGGCTCAAAATGAATAAACCCCAATAAATACCCACACCAAACAGATCAACGAAGAGGGGCAAAATGTAAAGAGCTGGTAAATCTCAGTAAAGGGTATAGAAAAGCTCCTTTTACTCTTCCTGCAACTATTCTCTAAGTTGAAATTTTAACAGAAAGTTACCAAAACAATTAAGTAGACTTACAATCAAAAATGGAAAAATAACACACACACAAAAGCAATTTAAAATGGAATGACTGTCAATGCTTTATCTTCGTTAATAAGCAGTAAGTAGTATTAATAACATAAGCAAATTGAGAAAAAATGCTCAAGTTTTTTTGGCAGTGATAAAACGTGTAGGGAGGACTAGTGATAATGGGTTGAGTATGAAAGATGCCAAAGATATTTAGCTAGTAGCATGTGTTGAGAGTACCTGTAGTAAACGTATTAAAACTATGGACATAACTGATGAAGAAACTATCAATATAGAGAATAAAAGTCTGCTGAAGGCCATCTTAAAACCATAAATATCTTGAACAAAGTTTGTGCGCACTCAAGAGTCAAAGAGTACTAGAAGTGAAGGTGCTAAAGTACCACTGTGATAAAGATCTAATGAAAATTATTAAATACAACTTAGCATACATATTTAAGTTTTTAGTACTTAATACCATCAGGTAAATTACTATCTACTGAAAACAGATATTGCTATTTAGTCAGAATGCTACAACTCAAACTTCAGAAACTTTTCTACATGTCTTTAGGCAAAACACCACCATCCACAAAAGAGATTCCTAGAACTATTAGTAAATTTCCAATATTACAAATTATAAGTTTGACTATATTGTTAATATCCTTGAATGAGACAGGTATATCAAATTAATTTTGCAAAACTGATAGGTCAAAGAAGGCAAAAAGATATAAACGGAATGCTTACAAACAAAAAAGCAAAATCACTCTATAACTGGGTTTCTATTAGGAAAATAAACATATTCACCTAGAATGATTATACTGAAGAATATGAATTCAAACTTCTACACTAAATAAGGCACAAGTAAAAGGCAATCTAAAAAGTAATGAAAATAATTCACCCTCACAAAATATTCAGAAAATTAAAGAGTTGCTAATTATATTTAATGAATGACACAAGGTATCCTAAGTTCTCAATGATGTCAAATTCATTATCTTAAAAAATTTAAATACGTATTTTAAAAAGCAAAAACAAACATCTTTATGAACATCACTTACTATGAGTTAAACTTACCTTTTTATCTTCTTTTACTTTGTGGGTTTTCTTCTTCATTTTCTTATCATCTAACTCCTGGTCTGAAGTGATTGCAGGATTATCAATACCACCTTTCCAAGTTTCAACAGGAGAAAGAAGTGGATCTTCCTCACTTCCACGGTGTCTTCCTTTTCTTTTTGTTTTAGAAGTGGTGAAAGCCTCATCATCACTTGCATCTGAATGTGTTCTTCTATAGTATGACTTGGCTTTACTAAACAGGGTTTTAGATTTATATTTGTATTTTGAAGGCCGCCTTTCCCCATGACTTTTCGACATTCTATCAGAAAATCCATTTTCTTCATCTCCTTGGGTGTTATTTACAAATGAGTTTCGAATTTTAATAATGCGAGTCTGACTATCATCTGGGACAACATACACCTCTTCAGAATAGCCCTTCTGTTTGAAAATTGTGTCAATGGGTTCCGCATAATTATCTGAAGGATCTGTATCTTCAGGATGTGCCAAAGGCACCCGGGAAGTCTGTTTTCTTGGATTTTTACCGATACCAGCTTCAATTGTTTTTACAAGGTTTGGATCCAGTTTTTTCACATTTGTCTTAGGTACAACTGGTTTAGGTTTAATAGGTGGAGGCACTTTATGGTTGCGTTCATGGTCATGACAGTTTGGGGTGCTATGAATAGGATATTCATTTCCTTCTAAATCTAATCTGTATCTAGAACGGTCACTAGGTGTTGGAAGCAACTGTACATCATCTCCAATCGGGCTATAAGGAGGCGGTGCTTCTGTATCATCATCTGAATCAGGGTAGTTGTTATATGGAAAACAGTCTCTGGGAGATGGTAGAAAAACATCCTCACTTTGATGGGTTGATTCCCTTGTATTATCAGATAAATAGGAATTTTCTATCATATTTTTTTTCTCTAGAACATCACTGAAAAACAGTGTAAAGACCTCAGTTTGCCGATGATACTGAGATAATGAATACAGTGCTGTAAATTTAGCAGTGATCTCAGTTGCAATGTGTTCTCCTTCAGTCATTAATTCCTTGATGGCCTCATTTTCAAAAAAATCTGCTTGGCTGTCAGTAACTGCCACCAGCTGTACAGGAATGGTGTCCTGAACTTCTGATAAAAATGCTCGAAGCATTCCCATTGACGCTTTCCGTTTGGCAGAATAAACTAATATATACCCATGAACCAGCTCATCTTTCCTTACTCCAATTGAAGAATGGTATGATAATATTGTGATCTGTATTCGCCTCCTTTTTTCACCAATGATTTTATCAAGCATTAGGGAATTATTTTGTCCAGCTTGAGCAGCACTACAAGAATGAGAATCAAGGAAGGGTGAAAGAATAAGATCCACACTAAAGGGATCACCACACATGGCACACATGACAATTCTCAGGTCAGCTTCTGATACATCCTTACTGATGGGAACTGGACTCACCACATCTAAATTATGTTTAACTGATTCTAATACTCCTCTGAGAGCTTGCTTTATTTGGGTTTCATTAAATTTACGAGGATATGTACCAGGAGGTACATCTACAAAAGGGCATTGTAACTTGTTTGCCAATTGTTGCCCTTGGTGCCTGAGAATTGGTAGATTCTTACTCATAGAATCTCTCTGATTAGCCAGAATTAGAGTAAATGGAAGATTAGCCATGTACTTATCTTTTCTGATCTGAGAAGCTTCAGTTCTTATTTTTCCAATAAATTCCCCAATAAAATTCAATGACTCAATGGAATTAAATACACAGAAGCACCCATGTGGTTTAAAGGCGGCAGTCCACAATTGACTTAAGAAGTAAGGCGACTTGGCATCAACTGGCCGAAGATCAAGTTCATAAATTTTTCCATCTAAGGCATACTCATCATCAGTGGATTGTGTTCTTATCTCATTTGCTAGTTCTTGAGCAAGGCCATCCTTCCCTAAAATGAAAAGGTTAACTTTATCTATACTGGTACTATCATGATACAACCGTAAGCGGCCATGATCCAACTGCAAAAGACTACTAGCAAGTAACTGCTCCACTTTAATGTCTGTACAATTTTGGCCACTAAGACAGGTTTCTTTAGTGGGATGATAAACAAACCCTATGTGCTTAAGTAGAAGAGATTCCCTATCAGGTGCAAGTTTCTGTAAAGCTTTATATCTAGGTTCTTCACTCAAAACTGTATGAATTTCACTCATTTTATCTGAACTAGGTGTTGCATTAAGATCTAAATCATAAAAAAGTTCAGAGTGCTCAAAAAGCATTTCCTGAAACTCTTCTTTGGCTTTTTCAACAATTTCTCGCTGATGCCTACCATACACCTCTTTGCTATCAGCCTCAGTGATATATTTGAAGGCTTCATCCTCCATAACAAAGCACATAACTTCTTCCCACGGCTGCCCAGGTGAAATGAACTGAATTTTTTCCAGAGTCTTTTTGAATTTTTCCTTCATTTCTACCCTTCTCTTCTCTGATATGAGATGTTGTACATGGTTCTGATAAACTTTTTCAGCTTCTAAAGTGCTCAGGAGGTCAAATGGGATTCGTCTATCATTAATTTTATCTATATGGTCAGTTTCATCCCAAGGTGTTTTTTCTAGCACCACAAAACATAACTGAAAATCTGCTCTCTTTTCCATTAACTTCAAAGCTTCTGACCAATTCAAATGTTCAATCTCTTCTAGGTTTGGCAAAAGAGTGTTAAAAGCTCTTGGTAAAGTATTTATATATTCTTCTCTCCTTTTTCTTATATGTTCCTGTTTAAGTTGTTCTATATGTTTTGAAAATGTATTTCTGGCCTTTCTTGTTCCCTCTAAGTTGATGTATTCTTCATAATCAGGATGATTTTTTAATTTATTACTAACAGTTTTCCAAGTTGCATGATAATCTCTCACAGTCTGCACAAGTTTTTCAAACTTATCTGTTGCTGTGACAACAAGTTGTCGCTGTGTTTTATAAGCATCCAGATAGGGAATAATTTTAGGCTTGCCACGAGTTTTATCCAACATTTGTACCAGTGCAGTGAAACATGTCTCAATGTTGACATTAAATCGTGCTGATGTTTCCACTACGAGAAGGTTCTTTTTGTTTGAAGCAAATGCCTGAACTTCTCTAAGATAATGATCCACGCATTCATCACATTTAGTTGCTGCTATTATTACAGGTTTTTTTGATTTTGATAGTTGGACAAAAAGATTATTCACAAATTTAAGTTGATCATCAAACTTCCTATTGCATCCCTGACTCACATCAATGCACAGTAAAAATCCGTCTACATTGAGCTTCCCTTCAGGCATTTGCTTCTGTTCAAAGTCTTGTTCCAAGCCCAGCTGATCAGTGCAAATGTACATTAGTTTTTCTGCTGACTGCAATTTAGAGGCAGCTGCACGTTTTATATATGGTTGCAAATTCGTACTCCGATGAGGCAAGAAAGTCTGGTCATCAATGAACTCTGTTTGTTCAATGACATGAATTTTGCATTCTACTCCATCTTCACCATTTTGTGTTATGTCACCCCAATACAAAAAGTGATCATTGTTTACTACTCGTCCTCCGAAGTCAATGGTGCTAAGCACAGAAGTATGCTCTGGGTAATATTCATCTGCTTTTGAGCGTACAAATCTATTGCACAAACAAGACTTTCCAACTCCACAGTTACCTTTGTCTTTTTCAGTCCCAGAGAGTCCAACTACACTGATAGTATAGGATGGGGGGCGAGGCTCTTTGTTTTTTGCCATCATAACTCTCTTCTCATGTCTCTACATTCATAAAGAAAGCCAGATATACTTCTCATTCTGAAAATAAAATCATCTCAAAATACAGATCCCAAAGTTCAGAACTATATTTGGTTCTTTGTATTTCCCTCATTTCTGTGCAGAAAGGTCTTCAAGATCATATGGATCATCTTCCTAGAAAGAGGAGAAAAAGGACAAAACTTAATCACGAATTACACTTCACATTATATACACACTAAAGATATTCATAAGAAAGAACTATGGACATTAACAACAAATATTACATGTATTTTAGGAAACCACCATAAAGACTGTTAATGATTTACTGTTATAAACGCAAGATGACTTCAAAATTTAAAACAAATCTAACAATTAAAATAACTACACACATAATTTAAGGTAATGTCTCAGAAAATTTAAAATAAGCCCCAACTAACCAAATGTACATTTTGTCTCTAGTCCTTCCTACAAGTCTGAAGAAATAACTAGTCTTTCCCCCTCCCTCAATTTTCCTGCCTTCTGTGACTAGACTATGTTGGTGATAATCAAATGTACTAGTTGCCATAATGACTCCCTCACAACTTTCAAAAACAACCTTTCTATTACACTGTTCCTCAAAGCTTGTTCCCTAATATGGAATCTCATATAAATTTAGGAAGATTTTACAATTAAATAAAATTTTTCATAAAGTTTCAACACGCTCCTGTGAAATCTATCACATTTTATGCCCCAAAACAAATTTAAAATATTCAAATACTTCAAACAGGAAAACAGACATGGACAGTTAATACAAATATTGAGAGTATTTAACTAGACCAATGTTTCTCAAACTATCAAGGTGGAGGATCAATTTTTATTTCATATCTGCAAGTCCAAATTTGCAAGACCCAATAAATGAAATTTTTTAAAAAATCTAAACCCCAATTAGATTCAAGAGACATAAAATTACTGTCTAACTATTTCTAAATGTTCTTGATTTCTATATTCATTTCCTCTCAAGAGTAATTACAAAAAGCTCATGGACCACATTTTGAGTAGCACCAAGCTAAAGAATTTTGAGATTGTATATTTGAGACAATCTTTGAGAAATATTTGATATACCAGCAACATGAAATAACCTTGAAGAGTTGCATGTAATTTAATTTAGGTTATTTACGTGAAAGCAATCAATCAGTCTTTTATAGAAGTTTTTATTTTTAGATTCTTCACACTCTTTTGAGGTTGAATTAAAAGTAATTCATCATTTCTACCACATCAAAATTTCACAAGACAGGGAAAATACCAAGTCGTGTACATCAACATATGTGAAAATTATCTTCAATCCAGACAAAATAAAGAACATAGAAAAAAAAATAAAGAGGTAACAAAGGAACCATCATTTGCCCCCAAATACCTGGCTTCTACACTGACCTCAACTGCAAGTAAACACCTATTCAAATTATACATTTACTATACTAACAACTAATGATTAAAGAAATTGTTATTATAATTTAAAATTATGACTATTATTTCTGGTAAAATAATATTAAAAATTAAAATTTCAGATTTACTTTTGTATTTCTGAAGTGTATTCTATTAGCCTCAACTACAAATATTAGTAATACCTGCCATATGATATTCAAACAAAGCATTATTAGATTCACTTTCACAACAAAATAATCCTATGTTGAAGGAGCAACACAAGTAGAAAACCATGAATAAAGAGAACTGACCTCAAAGCTGTTATTTATGAGTTTTTGACAACAGTAAAATTGAAGCCACTTGTGTCATGGTTTCCCCCATCTATAAAATGGGGCTGCTTATCTATACAAATTAAAGAACTAAATCATCTTTTTAAATGTTAAGTGCCTAGCAAACAAAAAGAGTTTAAGAAGTATTAGAATTCTGTATTAGTTTGATTCTTGGAACCAGTGAAGCTGTCTAAAGATTTTTTTTTTAAGATTTTATTTATTCATTTGAAATAGAGACAGAGGAAGCACAAGCAGGGGGAGAGGCAAAAGGAGAGGGAGAAGCAGGCTCCCCGCTGAGCTGAGACCTGGATGCAGGGCTCTATCCCAGGACCTGGAGATCATGACCTGAACTGAAGGCAAACACTTAACCATCTGAGCCACCCAGGTGCCCCGCTGTCAAAAGATTTTTTTTTGTAAAAAATGACGTGATCAGACTTGTGACTTAAAAATATTTATCTGGCAGCAATATACACAATAATTAGAAGTAAAAGAAATTAGGGTAGTCCCATCCAATCCTATTAACTCTTTTTCATTAGTAGAACTTCTAAAAAATCTTAATCTGGTTAAATTGGGTAATTGCACCTAGCACCACGTTTAACTTTCTTTACCTAAACTGCATGAAAGAATATTTGTATTTACTGATAAGAAAACAAAGCGAATGAACTGGATAACAAAATCATACACAGTGATAAAAAGGCAAAATGAAATTAGTTCATGAAAACAGCACGATTCTACAACAATTAAGAAAAAAAGTGAAAACACAGTAAAACACAAGGTCTACCCTTCCTTCTTACTAGAAAAGCAGAAAACTGCAGACAATAAGCTTTAAGATGTACATCAAAAGAAAACATACCTAGTGATTACTCTGGGGAATTTTCATGTTAAACAATATGAACACTAGCACTACATATAGCTCTTTATTAAACAAAAATCTATTCTAAAAACTAAGAGCAATTCAAAGACACGTTAAGACTGTCCCCTGCCTTCCAGTTTAAGAGACACAAAGTTAATAGAAAAGTTAACATTACAAAGTCCTATGAACCTGAGTATTATAGAAAATTCTTAACTACAGACCTAATCCCTTGCCTTAACAGTCACTTCTTTATTCATTTCTCATATATGCTTATTCCAAACACATTAAAAGAAACATTCCTGCTCTCCTACAGCATATACCTCAGAATACTGAGACACCTATTTTAAGTTATAGAGTATAAGCAGAAATGAAAACACTCATCATAAAATGTATTTTAAAAGTTACAGAAAGAAAAGGGCCTTAAAATTAAATGAAGATGAGTGGAGGCATGAAGTTATTACCCTTTCTGGAAGCCTTTTTATCTAATGAGAAATAAAACGATTATATTGAGGATAAATTTTAATACTGAGGTTTCAACATACATCCTAATAAATTTGATAGTGGCAGGCTCTGAATCATGAATATTAAACTTTAAATTAAAAATGAGGTAACTCTGTGTGACATTTATGGTTTTCACACCAAATTCACAATAAACTACCAATTAGACACTGAGGAACATCCATGTTCTTCTTTCAGGAAGGCTATCTCCTGGTTATTTTGAAATCAGCTCCAGAGCTTATGTCATGAGTCACTACAAAGTGATTTTCAAATGGTGGTGGAAAATTCTTTCACCTACAGGTGGTAAAAAAGAACACTGGACAAATAGTTGCTCTCTCCCTCCAACTCAATCATCAAAGCAGTACATGCTTTATCTGATTTACAAGTTTACTTAACTCAAAAGATCTTTTAAAAATTTTTTCCCAAAGCTTTAATATTTTAAAAAAAATGTTTTCAGAGTTTAAAAAAACTTGAGAAACCAACAGACTAGGGAAAAAACTGTCATCACCTGTCCTCAAAAACATTTTGCTATTTGTATGGGTGAGTATGGTATTACCACCTCATGGGAGAAAGAGAGCTTTCATGAGTTTGGCTGTAACAGGTTATAAGGGCATTTAATTTCAGTCACCTGGATAGTTTATACATACATGAATTATCCACTGGCCCTCAACATCCAGGTCAAAATTACTGTCCATTAACTAACCAAGGTAGTTTTTCTTCTGCACTGATAAAAAAAAAAAAAAAAAAAAAAAAATCCCCTCTTTTGTGTGTGTGCTCCTAGTAATAAACTAATGGCCAATATCTATATGCAGGCTATTCGATTTATTTGAAAATTCCTTTCAAATTTGTTTAATGATAATATTTGATTATGTTGATCCATACAACTTTCCAATTTTTGATGTGACTTTACTTTTATGTAACTTGTTCTCATTTTCTCCTATTTTTACCCTTGAAGAAACCATGACAAAAGTAGCAATGATCTATTCAAAGCCATCCAGTTAAAAGGAGTCTCTGGATAACCAATCTTTATTTTCTTAAGCAGTAGTACTGCTTTTCAACAGTTTGCAATGTGGTTTCTTTTTTTTTCTTTTTAAGATTTTATTTATTTATTTGCTAGAGAGAGAGAAGGAGCAGGGAAGACAGGGCTAGAGGGAGAAGCCAACTCCCACCGAGCACAGAGCCTGATGTGGGACTCGATCCCAGGACCCCAGGGATCACGACCTGAGCCAAAGGCTGACTCTCAACCAACTGAACCACCCAGGTGCCCCAGCAATGCAGTTTCTCATTCTACCTTTAAGTTTAACTTACAACCATTTCAAGGAAATGTTTAGATTAAGTACCTTCCCAGAAATTAACAACAATGTATAATTTGAGTAGAACTACAGTTGATGAGAATTGGAGGGAGAGGGCAACTATCTGCCCAATATTCTGTTGACTGGTCCCTAAAATTGTCTTAAAAATGAAGCCATCTATGACTGAGTTTTCTAAGATATGTGACTAAACCATTCAAACACAACATGCTCCTTTTAATGGAGTTTTAATAACATGAAGTGACTTTCTGAAAGAAAATTTTTCAAGTTCTACAGGGAATCTAGGAAGAATCAATTCTTAGTAATTCTGGACTTAAACCAAAATTTGTTTTGTACCTTCTCACAAAGCTTACATTCATAAATAAAAGCTATAATTTTAAGATTCTATACTTTAAAGTTACTATACTTTGTCAGGAAATTCCTGTTGGTCCTATCTTCAAAATATATGGAGAATTTATCACTTCTCATTACATTTATTGCTCTAATTCTGACCCCATCCACCATCATATCTGGCCCCAGATTATTCCAAAGGCTTCCAGACTAGTTTCCCTGCTTCCATTCCTGCTCCTCTTCCCCTGTCTATTACTACCAGAGCAGCCAGAGTTTCTTTTAAACATTAAGTCAGAGCTTCCCATTCTTAGGCCCAAAACCTTCCAGGGGCTCCTAAAAGTCACAGTCAAATCCTTTCTATGGAATACTATAAGATCTATCTTCTCCAACCCTATCTTGCTCTCTGACCTACTCTCATATATTCTCCCATTCTCATTCTGCACCAGTCACACT